TATATAAATGTATAAATATATATATAATATATATATATATATAAGCAGAGAGAGGTAGAGACATAGAGAGGCAGAGACAGAGAGAAAAGTGCACAAAGCGAAGGAGACAGACAAACAAACAAACAAACAAACAAACAAATTAATAAAACAAACAAAGAGAGACAGCAAAACAAAAGAAAGAAAGGCGAGAGGATATTTCATATTTATAATTTAAAAGGGCCTCCGCTTCTCTGCATGCAAACAAAAACAAAAAAATAATAAAATAAACTGCAGCAAAAGACAAAAAGAAAGTAAAAGAAAAACCCGCAATGGGAGGGGATTCACACAGCAGCAACAGCAGCAGCAGCAGCAACAGCCGCTGCTGCTGCTGCTGTTGCTGTTGCTGCTAGTGCTGCAGCGGCTGCTGCTGTTGCTGCTAGTGCTGCAGCGGCTGCTGCTGCTGCTGCTGCTGCCTGCTTGGGTCTCAAAGGAGACACAGGAAGATGAAAGGAGACAGAGAGAGACAGAAGAGAGAAGAACAAGATAAAGAGAGAGACAGCAAAAACAAATAAATAAATATATAAGACAAACAGCAGCAGCCCCTCAAACGCAGCAAAACAAAGATTGTGCTGTCTCCTCTCTCTTTTTTGTCTGTCTGAAGAAGCTGGTACACCAACAAACAGCAGCAACAGCAGCAGCAGCAACAGCAGCAGCAGCAACAGCAGCAAAAGCAGAAGCAGGTGCAGCAGCTTGGGATGCCTATATCGTTGCATCCCGTACATGCTGCTGCTGCTGCTGCTTCTGCTGCTGCTGTAGTGCTATTGCTAGTTTTGCTGCTATTGTTTTTGCTGCTACTGCTGCTGCTGCTATTGCTGCTTTTGCTGCTGGTGCTGCTGCTGAGCTGTAACGGTTCGTGGTTGTGCTGCTTAGAGAGAATGTGCAGCAGCAGCAAGGAGACAACAAAGCAGCACTAAGAGAGACTAAGAAGAAATACTGAATAACATAAACCCCCTTTGGTTTTCTTCATAAAAACTCTCTCTTCTTTTCTTGTCTCTTTAATTATAACACAATGATTTTATGCATGCATGCATGCATGCATGCATCTGCTGCACAGACTATGCTCTGTTCTGCTGCAGCAGCAGCAACTCCTGTTGCTGTAGCAACTGTTCCTGCTACTGCTGCTGCTAAACAGCTGCATGTACACCCCAGTTGCTTCTGCTGCTGCTGCTGCTTCGTCGTCTTGTCGGTTGTATTTTGAATGCAGCAGCAGCAGGCGTTGCTGGGGTGTATAGGCACCTCAGGCTTCCAATCCTCAGCATTTTCTTTTCTGCTTCTCTGTTTCATCTTTTCTCCTTCGCTTGATAGACTGGCAACAGGGTGTATCCTCAACTTTGAGGTGTATATGCAGCTTCGGGCTGCATGCAGAACTTTCGGGTGTATGCGCAGCTTTGGGGTGCATGCATTTTGATAATTATAGCGGCGTTGCAGTGGTCGGCTTATTTTATATCTTTTATTTATATGCACTCCCTATGCACCCACCGAAAACAGCAGCAGCAGCAGCAGCAGAAACAGCAGCAGCAGCAGCAGCAGAAGCAGCAGCAGCAACGCCTAGCTGGTCTTGCTGTCTGTCTCTACTTTTGTTTTCAATCTCTGTTTGTCTCTAGCTCGTTTGTTTGTTTCTTCTTCTGAGTTTATTTATTTATTTATTTATTTATTTGCGGTTTACATAATTTGTTTCAAAGCCCTCCCTCCTCTTTATTCATTTGTTTTGTTTCTGCTGCTGCTGCTGCTGCTGTTGCTGCTGCTGCTGCTGCTGCTGCTTCTTTTTCTTCCTCCGCTGTCTTCTTTGTCTCTCTTTCGTCGTTTGCTGCATTTCTCTGAGGTGTACAGATAGCCTCTGCCTGCGTTCAAAGCCTCAGCCAGAAAAACTGCTGCTGCATTGAATAACTTGCAGCAGGAACTGCAGCAGCAGCACCACCTGCAGCAGCAGCTGCCGCAGCAGCAGCAGCAGCAGCAGCAGCA